TGGATGAGCCCACTCTCGGCTGAACCATCTACAGGGGGCCATGGGCTAGGGCAAGAGGCAGACACGTGAAGAGGGGTTCCCAACGCTGCCTCCCCTGACCAGCTTTAGCTCCTCTCCACTGCAGGCAGTCCAGTCACGACCTCCAGAAGCTACCTCCCTTTTCTCCTTTTCCAGTTCAGGCCTTCCTACTCCCCTGTGTGGGCTTTGCTATCACCACCTAACTCAGCCTCCTGCTTCGATTTCCTCCCTCCTCCCCTCCACCCCATACCACACATCTCTTAGATGCCGGAGCCAGACTTTCATCCTGCTTCTCCCAAAGCCCACAGAGAAGGGCAGTCTGTTTAGCACGGCACTCACAGCCCCCATAGGCTATTCACAACAACACTCTCAGCCCTGTTGCTCACTGTTCCTCTGCACGTACCCTATGTCCTAGCTAAAGCTTCTGTCATCTTCAAACATCCCTCCCTTTCCATCTCGGTGCTTTTCGTTCCTGTTGCTTCATTATCTGCCTGGAATGCTGTTTTTCTCCTGGTCACCTCCCTGCTGATCCCTCAAGGTCAAGCTCAAATGCTCCCTCTCTACAGATTTTTCCCTGATCCCCTGGCTGGAGATAATTCCTCCCTTCTCGGGGCACTGCCCCTGTGCCTCTATGTAGCACGCAGCCTCTATTTCTGTACTGAACATATGCCTACACGTACTGGTTAAGAGTCTAAGTTCTGCCGTCTGAATGGCTGGGTTTGAAGACTTGCTCTGTCACTTACCAGTTCTATGACCTTGGCCAAGTCACTTGACCACCTCATGTCTCATCTGTGGAATGGGAATAATGGAAGTACAACTTCTTTGAGTTGCTTTGGCAATTAAATGACATAATCCATTACATGCCTGGCGTATGGATAAGGGTTAACATCAGCACATGTTATTGTTATTATCTCCCTCATTGAATGGCGGGTTTCTTGAAGGCAGGATCTCTGTCTGTTTGTATTTGTGACCATGGTGCTAGGGTCTGGTCAGGTGCTTTAAACACTGGATGAGCTCAGTTAATGTGTCCTGTGAATGAGTGACTCACGCGCACCAGCCTGATCCATCCGTCAGGATAGTTAGCACTGTGTTATGTGCTAAGGACAGATAGCCTCTATTTAATCTTCACAGTGGCTCTATAAAGCAGGTATTTTAAAAAGCCTGCTTTAGGGACACGTGGGTGGCTCAGCCGGTTGGACATCTGCCTTCGGCTCAGGTCATGATCCCCAGGTCCTGGGATCCAACCCCACATTGGGCTTCCTGCTCGAGTGGAGCCTACTTCTCTCTTTGCCCCTCTTCCAGCTTGTACTTTCTCTCTCTCTCTCTCAAATAAGTAAATAAAAATCTTAAAAAATTTGTTTTAATTTTAAAAACCTGTTTTACAGATGAGAAAACCAAGGCACAGGGAGTTAAGTAATCTGCCCCAAGTCCCACGGTCCACACTCCTCCCTCACTGACCCTACCCTGTTCTTCACCCTAGATCTAAACATCAAAGGAGGTGACATTAGGAGATTCTTGGCAAAAGCTTTTTTCTGCCTCAGGAAATTTGTTCTTTGTTCCCAAGAGCTGAAGGCTGTTCCTGCTATATCTTTTCTGTCACCTTCTTTTGTCCTTATCTTGCCTTTAGGCCCTGGTCTGCTTCCGCATGTCAGAACCTCTTGAACTTGTGGCCACTAGTGGCTAGATAAATGCCTTCTAGGAATACTGAGTTGTCCTAGAAGGACCTTCTCCAGCCCCAGGGACGTCCCTCTGCTGCTTCATCATGCCTCAGCTAGGACAGGCATTCCAGGAGTCAGCCTCCATCAACCTCCCCTTCCTCCAGGAAGACTTCCTGGCTTAGCTGGACTTCATGAGCCCCCATCACTCAGCCTTTGCACACTCTATTTGCTCTACACTGCTATTGACTCAGGAGGAACAGCCTGTGAGCATCTTACATCTGCTTCTTCTGTGTTCTTGTGTCTACCCCCATTTGTTGGAAGCCCTCAAGGGAGCAGTGTGTAAGAACAGCTGGTCCCAAGGCCTTGTGTTCATGCAGGGCCCCTCTCTGGTGGCTGGAGAGGAGAAAGCTATGTTCTCTGCTGAGTTGTGGCAGCCCCGACCCCCTCATACTAATGAAGACGTGTGTCAGCTGCTGCTACTCGCCTGCCCCATTTCATCCCTGAAACGGACCCCAGTCCCCTTCCAGGAGGAGGGAAAGGGCCAGTCCTCTAGGCATCAACCTAACTGAGCCAGGATCCCCAAACACTTTGCCTCCCCACAGGGCTCACTTGTTAGAGTGCAATTTTCTGCTCCGAGAAATTGAGAAATTCTGCCACTTTGGTTTTCAGGAACACACTCTTCTTGTCTAGATTTTCTGGGCCAAGGACAGGGCCAGGATGCAGGAGAGGGACCCAGAACACCCTTGACAAAAATAATGTCACAACTTGTTAATGCTTCCTTCTCCAGCAGCCTACCCAGTGTCTGTAGGACACATACTTCTTGAAGGGATTTGGTGGCATAAATGCATGTAGAACTTGACCAGTATAGCATGCGTGCCATTCCTGGGCATATACTAACTTAAGGCAAAGCCAGGCAACACACAGTCCTCCTCAGTGGCAGGGAAGAATCTGCCCGAAATAAACACACAGGTCCTACCGCCTGCCACCACCCTCAAAAGCTCATGACATAAAACGCCTGTATGCCTTTCCCACCCCCTTGCTGACCTGGGGTATAAAGAAACAAACTCTTCCTATCCTAGTCACAGCCAAGCTGCACTGAAGTCAATCCCCACAGTCCTCAGAGGAGCCAGAGGGCTGAGCCTGGGCTAACTCAGCTCTACTTTCTTCTTCATTCCCATTGGGGAAACTGAGGCACTGTGATTTGGTTCAGCTACCTAAGCACTGGGCTGAGGTGTTGGGGAGTAAAGGGAACTCTAATACCTCTGCCTGTCACTGCTCTGTCTCATTTCTGGGCAGCCTGGCATGAGGGGAGAAGGAGGGGCAGCCGGAGGGGTGGGGGAGGGGGAGGGGGAGGGTGCCGAGCTCTCCCATCTGAGTGTCATTCTGGGCCCCAGGCCAGGCATTTGGCTTCCTCTCCAAGAGAGTCAAAGGCTGAAGCTACTCAGACAAAGGGCCAAATGAAAGCTAATGGGGAGCTCGGTGACTTCAGCCTCTCCCCTTCCTCCTTGCGGGGACTAGGGGGCTCAAGTCCTTGGCAGGAGAGGGTGCAAATCAAGACCTGGAGCTCAGTTCAGTGCAGATTCCTATTTGCCTTTTTTTATTCTCCTGGCATCCTCAGACTATCTTCCTCCCCTCATTCCCTCCCACCTAGGGTGCTATAAAAAATGCAAATCAGTAGGATTTTAAAATTCAAGCCTATGCCAGGAACACCCACAAACCCTCTATTAAGGCAGATCCTGAGGTGGGTGGTGTGGTCCCAGATTCCAAGCATAAAAAGAGGACTCTATTAGATTCTTTTTTCAGCATGGGCCTTGGACTTCAGACACGATCTGTGATGTCTTCAGACATGATCTGTGATGACCTTGACCTTTCTGATCTTGGACAAATGAATGGGAAGAGTCAGAATTATATATGCGTGGGCTGGGCCTGACCATCCCAAACCAACACGGGAAGCACGGGAGAACCAGCATGGGAAGGGCCAGGATGGAGACTCCTCTGTCCCTCACCTAAGCAGCATTTCTCTGGATAACTTTCCCATCTGAGTGTCACCACAAAAAGGGCTTGAAGAGGAAGTTGCAGAGAAGTGACCATTGACCTGAGAAGGCAGACGCTGGAGTGGGACAGGAAGAGCGCCTGCGAGCCTTGACCAGGAAGCATCAGTGAGAACACCTGCTCTGCGAGCTGCCCTCCCCCCAAACTGTCCCCAGATACAGCTGCCAAGTTTGGAGGGGTGGGGGTGGGGTAGTGTAGAGTTTGCAGGAGCTGGACAGGATGTCATGGAATCTGGAGAGCCACGGATCCAGGTCTGCTGTTGAGAGCCTGGGTGCCCCTGGCTCTGGAAAAAAGGAAGAAAGAAGAGGGGAGAAAAGTGAGACCGAGGAGAGGTCCACTCCAAGAGAAACTAAAAGGAACAAAAAGAGGTAGAGGCAAAGGAACAGGAAGGAATCGGATTGAGAGAAAGGTGGGCCTGGGGGCCAAGGTGGGGCGGGGCGTGCATATCTGCGTGAATTCGGGTGGTTGCAGGAACAAGAAAGATGGCAGGTGTGTGTGCAGGGTGGGGTGGTATATGAAGTCGGTGAGAATCAACCTAACAGAGCTTTGGGGGCACCCATCCCCCTACCTGGGTGATGCCCGGTTCCCAGCCGGAGCTCCTTCTCCTGACCCCTGCACCCCTGGCCTCCGCAAGCTCCTTCCGCACTCCCCACGCCCAGCCCTGACATCTGGCGAGGCCCCCGCAGCTCCGCTTGCGATCTGCCAGGCGGCGCCCCTCCTCCGGCGCGGGGCCCTCCCCCGCCCTTCCAGCTGCCAGCACCCCCTCCCTGCTGGCAGACAAGCCCGGGCAGACAGCCGGCCCGGCCTGCCCCCGCAGCCGCGCCAGCTCTGCCAAGCCCGGCGGGGCTGGGGGCCCCAGGCGGTGCCAGCTCCCCGCGAGCCAGCGGTCCCCAGCCGCCCTCTGGCCCGCGAGCGCCCGGCCCTGCTCCCAGAGCCCAGCCAGCCCCACGGGGGGACCCCGAGCGGTCCCAGTAGCTGCCCGTCTGGGAGTGCGCCCCCCGTGTCTCCCGCGCCTTCTCTGGGAGCATTTCAGTCTGGGTTTGGGTCGCTCGGTCTCCGTCACTCGCTCGTGTCTGCCTCGCTCTCTCAAATCTTTGCTCCAAGTTTCCTCGCGGTCCTTGCCCTCGGAACAGGCCCTGCCCTCAGCCTGGCCGCCCGCTCCTCGCCCGCCTTCCTCCGCCCTCGCACTCCCGGCTACCCGGCCCGCGGCGGGGGCCAGGTGCGGTCCGGGCGGAGCAGTCCTCCGGACCCCGGCGCCTGCGCCGCGCTTACCAGCTCCTGTTTGAGGCGGCGCAAATAGCAGTCCATTTCCCTGCTCTCTTCCTCGTGCGCCCATTTGCCGGGCTCGGCTCCTCAAGAGCGTCCCCGGGTGGGAACAGCTGGCCCGGGCCCCCGCGCCCCGCGCCTCTCGCAGCGCGGAGCAGAGCCGAGCCCTGGCGCCCAGGCCCGGACTTAGAGCAGCTTCCCCGGCTCTCGCGGCGCGCGGTCCGTGCGGAGGGGCGGAGGAAAAGTGGGACAGCCTATGAGAATTCAGGGGGGATGCCTTCAGCCAATGAGATGGGCGCACCGGGGGCGCGGGCTGGGCCTCGGCGAGGGGAGCCTGCCGCGGGCAGTGGCACGGAGCTAGGGCAGCGGCGACTGGGGGCTGGCCGGACGACACCTGGTCCCCGCGCGCACGGCGGGGGGTATCGTGACGCCAGACTGTACCGACGTCCCCCAACAGAGCACGTGATCCCCGTTTGGTCACAAAGAGAGAGCACCGTCTTACGCGCGCGGGCGCTGGGTAGCGGTCTCAGTAAGAGGCCGAGTGCCTTAGTTTCTTTCAACCTTGTTTCCCAAACTCCGATCAGAAAAGGAACATCCTCCACCCAAGCAGCCAATCAGCAGCCCTTTTGAACTCTGGAAGTGTGCTGGAAGTCTGGAAGTTTGGGTGTACTTCACTTCCTAGTGTAGGGTCCCTCCAGCCCTACTCCTCACCGGTGGAGCTGAAGAGCCACTGTTCGGTCCATTCGTTTATTTAACGAACACATGACCGAAGCAGAGGCTCTGCTGTATTCCCCGCCAAGTGTGTTAAGTCTGGGGATACTGAATGAAGAAGACAGGGAAGGAGGTCTCTGCTCTCGAGAACAGGCATGGGGGAGGGGTAGCGAGTGATAGGGTAGGTTAAAATAAACAAACACGGTAATCTCAGGTAGTGATTCTTGGTGAAAAAAAAGGGGGGTGGACAGGGTCATGGGATGGGGGCTGCTTTCGATAGGGTGGGCAAGGAGGGGAGGAATAGCCCCTCTCTTCCCCAGTACTCCTCCAGCGTCAGTTATCCCGACTGTTGCTCTAGGGAGGAGGACGCAAAGTTGCTCGATCCTATTCAGTGGACAGGGCCCTAGCCCGAGCCCGAGCCGGAGCCGGAGCGAGAGCCGGAGCCGGAGCTGGGGCAGGTGAACCCGAGAGGGGCCGCAAGCCGGCCGGGCGCCCCTCCCCTCGGAGCTCCGGACCCGCCACGCCAGCCGCAGCGCATAGCCGGATTGCGAGTCCCTCCCAGTGCCTAGGCCCCGCACCACCCTCCCCCACCCGCCCCAACTCGCTCCGCCCCCCGGGAGCTGGTGTTGCAGGACCCCAGAGTAATTAGGGTGATTAGCGACGTGTTATTTCAAGATAATTAACGGAAGAAAGTTTGCCTCAGGCAGAATTTGGGGTCTCTGTGACAGAACCGTGCAGACGCGGGAGAAGGGACAGAGAAAGCAGGTGCTGCGGTCATTCCCATCTTTGTCAGCAAAGAGTGCCGCCCCTGCTCGCTACTGAAAGGCGGGAGAGAGGCAGGGAGGATAAAAATGAACATAATCAGAAACGAACACTTCGCAGAGTCCATTTGGATGCTTCCATTTAACCTCGGGTCCTCACAGGGAATTTTGCCCCTGTCTTTCAGTCCCCTGAGTGCTCCCCCCATCCACCCCGCCTTTTGGACGAAGCTGCAGCAGCGGTAGCAGATGGTTCCAGAAAAGAAAGAAGAGGAGTAGGTGAGTCAGAAACGGGTCCGAAATCTGTGTCTCGATGACGGCTTGCCAAGCCCAGGGACCTGCGCTTTCTCTGCGGTCCCTGCTCAGGATTCCACGTGGGTCACAAAACCCGGGGGACCGCAGGGTGGAGCTGAGAAGCTACTCAATTCCCAAGCTGCGGAGCCTGACATTCCATTTCCTTCCTCTTTCAAGGTCCGGTAACCGGGGTGAGTCCCGTCCCGTGGGTCTACACAGCGCTGTGCTCCGCCCAGCCTGCAGGCTTCGTTGCCGTTTGGAGCCAGAGATCCCTAAGGTGGGTCTTTCCGTGGTACCCCAGGCGTGCTCACCGTGGGAGCCACCCCCAATGACTGAGTTGCAGTCCCCAGACTGGCTGAACCTTTTCTGGAGTTGAATCTTCTGGGATGGAGGCAGAAAGGGGCACCTGGCCACTATCATAATCTACAGTCTTACACAGGGAGAAACACCACCAAAGGTTCCCCCACCCCTGCAGGCCTTGCTCATTCTTAGAGCTCCGGGGCCCAGCAGTGGCAGCTATAGAAGGCAGTGAGTAAACAAACATTTGTGGTCCGGGGTAGAAATAGTCTTTAGAGTCAAGTTTAAGCCACAGTTTTGCCATCCCTGAGGGCTCCTGGACTGGAATCCTCTTGGAGGTTAAGAGGATGGCTGCAGTTCACACTCCAAGAGATGCAGGCTGATCTCCTGTAAGAACCTGAGACCGAGTGGTCGGCCTCCCTAGCCTGCTGACAGCACACTCTGACTTGCACAAATGCTTCCTTTTTATAGGCCCCAGCTTCCCTTGTGTGTAGTTCAACCTCTGTGAGCCTAACACTTTTCTACTCCTTATGAAACTCTACTTTGACAATGATCTGTGATGTAGTCAGGACAAGAGGAATCCATCTCAGAGATGAAGAATATATTGTTAGCAAAGCCAGACTGTATTCCATCCACTTTATATATATGTATAGAAAATAAAATCCCTTAAAGTGTATACATCTACATGTATATACATATAGATGTATATACTTTAAGGGATTTTATTTATTTATTTGACAAAGAGATCACAAGTAGGCAGAGCAGCAGGCAGAGAGACGGAGGGAAGCAGGCTCCCTGCTGAGCAGAGAGCTTTATGCGGGGCTCGATCCCAGGACCCTGAGACCATGACCTGAGCCAATGGCAGAGGCTTAACCTACTGAGCCACCCAGGTGCCCCTATACATTTTAATTGAAGTATAGTTGACATATAATATGCTAGTTTCAGGTGTATGACATAGTGACATGACAGTTATATACATTATGAAATCCATCTACTTTAAAAATAATTTTATATATATTTTTATATTTTTATATATTTTTATGTATTTATATATTTTTTATATTTTTATAATTATATTTTATATTTTTTAATATTTTCATTAGCATATAACATATAATGTATTATAATATATATATGTATATGTATATAATACATATAATGTATTATAAGGTATTATTAGCCCCAGGGGATACAGGTCTGTGAATCATCAGGCTTACACACTTCACAGCACTCACCATAGCACATACCCTCTCCAATGTCCATAACCCAGCCACCCTCTCTGTATCCCCCCATTCCCCGGCAGCCCTCAGTTTGTTTTGTGAGATTAAGAGTCTCTTATGGTGTGTCTCCCTCCCGATCCCATTTTGTTTCATTTTTTCCTTCCCTACCCCCCAAATCCCCCACATTGCCTCTCAAATTCCTCATATCAGGGAGATCATATGATAATTGTCTTTCTCTGATGGACTTATTTCGCTCAGTATAATACCCTCTAGTTCCATCCACGTCGTCGCAAATGGCAAGATTTCATTTCTTTTGATGGCTGCAAAAATCCATCTACCTTTAAAGGCAAGGAGACGGCAAGAGAAAAAAAAATTGATGACCGTGATCCCAGTGCAGGGCTCCAAAGAGAGGTTTCAGACGAGTCAGAGATACTAGTACTGTGTGGTTCCCACAGGGTTTTGGACGAAAATGGCTGGTGGACTCTTAAGTCCTTTCATGACATTGGGCCGTTGCAAACTTGCCCTGAGAAGGCCGGTGTTGCATGAGGGTTGTGAGGGTGTGTCTCTTACCTTGCTTCTAAAGAGATAGTTCTGTCCTTGGGGCAGAGTAGGAGGCAGGAGCAGGAAAAAGGACTGCTGCTTACATTTTTCTTTTTTTTTTCCTTCTTTTTTTTAAAGGTATAAGTGGTAGAGGATAAAGCTTGTTGCCATAGTTATATAAACACGGGTAAATATTACTCGGCTGAGGATGGGGGATGGGGGGCATGATTCATTTTTGCTGAAGAAGAATCAAATAGTTCCACCTCCTCTCTCCTGCACCCCAGAACCCAGCCTGGAGGGAGGAAGAGATTATCTCATTTGAAAATTAAAGAATATGTCAAAGGTCTGGGATTGGCTGTGAATATATACTTTCTCAAAGCCATCCAGAGCTGGGATGGAACCCTCAGAAAGGCAGCTCAGCATTTGCCCCCTGCTGGTGGGATCGGTGGGGTGGGTGCTTTTCCTGAGGGTAAGAGTGCAGCTCCTGGAAACCGGTGTCTTAAGGGTGTCAAACTCACGGGGTTCGCCCAGCCTAGTCAGGGCGGGTGGCCTCCTCTGTCCCGCTGCCAAAGCCTGGAGGTCCTGGCACCAGTGACTGAGCTCAAAGGGAGAGGCAGAACTAGTTGTGTCCCAGTAGAACTCACATCCTAAACGAAACAATGGAAACCCTGCTGTTCTGGCTCTGCATCCTGTGGCCCCCACCTGGAGGTCCCCACCCACCACGTCTCAGCAAGCTCTGGAAGGGGCATCCCCGGGTGAGGCAGTGCCCATCTCCCCTGGCAGAGGAGGAACCAAGGAACTCATATGGAGGTGAGGAAAGACATATGGGGCCACACGCAGTCTGGAAACTCCATCATAACATACCCCTCCTCAGAGTGGGTTCCGTATCCCCGCTGCCCTCCTGCCTCCACACCCTGGGCCTGCCGACAGCCCTCATCCAGAACCCCCTCCCTGATCCCCCCACACCTCCAGAGCATCAACAGGAAAGGCTGACCCTAGAGATAAACGCGTGCTGTTGGAATGTGTTCAGATAGCACTGCGGAACCGCTGCTCTCCCCAGGCAGAGGACCTTGCCTGGCAGGCAGGCCCGGAGGTGCTGAGCAGAGATTGTGCATCTGCGCGTGAACAGAACGCATCAGGATGGTGGGGAGGAGGCTGGAGTGAAGCCTGGCTGTTCTCGAAAGAATCTAACTCCTAGCTTTAGTCCTCTGTCCTCCTTAGACAGGGTGCTGGGCTCCTCTGTCTCATGCAATCCCAATTCCAGGCGGGACAACAGAGGGACCAAGTGGCCTATATGTTAGGAGGGCTCTAGGTTCTGGAGGAAAGGTTCACCT